ATGGGGCTCAGAGAAGGCTGATTTCAGAGAGGAAGGGAGAGGGAGAGAATTAAAGATCAATGATGACAGAGAATCACGGATTGGTTGCCTCCCGCATGCCCCCTCCTGGAGATCAAGACTGTAACCCAGGCCTGTGCGATGACTGGGGATCGAATCAACTTCAACTCGTTCCTAGGTTTAAGCTAAACAACTGAGCTATGCCAGCTGGGTTCCTTTCTCTATTTTTTCTTTTCTTTTCTTTTCTTTTCTTTTCTTTTCTTTTCTTTTCTTTTCTTTTTTCTTTTCTTTTGTTTTCTTTTCTTTTCTTTTCTTTTGTTTTCTTTTCTTTTCCTTCATAATTAAAACTTTGTAGTTGGTTCAACTTTTCTTTCTGTCCTGACACCACCACATTCTTTCTGATCATCTCAGAGGGAAGTGACAAACCATCGAGCAAGCCACCCCATGGAAATAATATGCAAATAATATGCTTTACCTTTAACAGCTGGCAGAGGATCAATACTAAAGTCAGCACCCAGGTGGGTTTGAAACAGCGGTCTTGCTTCTCAAGTGCTGGGGAGAGAGGCAAGTCCAAAATATTCAGGGACAGACAGACACCTGGGATAGCTGGTAGGGAAAACAGGAAGGAAAGAGACAAGGGAAACAGCAAGTAGGATTCCTGAGGTTTAATAACATCATTTATAGAATGATCTCTCCCTTCCCCAAACATCAGCCATGCTCTTGGCAAGGACTGTATGGTTTTGCTGCTAACGTCACTTCACTCCACAAAGTCCAAATTCCTCACTCAGATCAGACTCCATCCCCAATCCTTCCTCCTCCTCTTTCCATCCACCTTTTTCTTACCTATTCATCTTGCTCTGAAGACAAAGCACCGTCGTAGCTCCTTTCCTCTGTGACCGGTCTCTGCTTCCCCCTGTAACCTGCAGAAGAAACAACATGACCTTGATACACATTTCCCCAGGAGTCCATGTACCAAGAATGTGTCCCGAAAAACAAGGTTCCCTGACTCACACCCCGGAAACCAGTCCCAGGAAACAAGTGGTCTTCCGGAGGAAAGAGGTTTATTCAGGTGCTGGAAACCTGAGAAGATGAGGGAAGCTCGTCCCAAAACTCATTTGCACATCTCAGTACAGGCTAAGCCTTTTATAAGGAGGAAGAGACCAAACAGAGCAAAGAGGTCAGGGGTGGGTCTTGAGAAGTTATCTACGTGATGACAGGCACTGTCCAATCTGATAAGGATCTTGCAAGTGGTCAGGTGTTGGTCCAGTGTGCGTCATCCTAGACATTGTCCTCCTGGTGCTAAGATTGAAGGTCAGCAAATCTCCCAGAACTTGGAAAGTCAGAGTTCATACCTTGTAAGATTTGCCCCTAGGATTCATATACAAACATCCTGTTTACCTACAAGCTTCATTATTAGTCAGAGTCTTCATTTACAGGAACAATGTTGAAAGAATAGTGAGGTGAATTGTAATCCCCATGAATTACATGAATTCATGTAATTACTGTGACATTAATAATGAGATGCTTACTTCTTCTTCAAGGCATTTGCGACCTTTGAAATTCAAATTGTCCCTGGTTGGTTTGCCTCAGTGGATAGAGTGCCAGTCTGCGAACTGAACAGTCCTGGGATTGATACCTGGTCCAGGGCACATGCCCAGGTTGTGAGCTTTATCCCAAGTGAGGGACTTGCAGGAGGCAGCCGATCCATGATTATCTCATCAAGGATGTTTCTAACTCTCTCCCTCTCCCTTCCTCTTTGAAATCAATAAAAATATATTTAGAAAAAGAAGCAGACACTCTATCCACTGAGCCAGACTGGCTCAGGTGCTAGGTAATCTTTAAATGACTACACACCTGGTATGTTAAACCAAAAAAATCATAAACTCTTTTAAAACAATGTGCATTTAATCTGAATGCAACACTTGCTTAATATTTTTTTAAATGTTTTTATTGACTCAGAGAGGAAGGAAAAGCAAGAGGGAGAGAAACATCCATGACGAGAGAATCTCAGGGATTGGCCGCATCCCACACGACCCTACTGGTGATCGAGCCCAAAACCCAGGCATGTGCAGTGGACCGGGAATTGAACCGTGACCTCCTGGTCCATAGGTCGATGCTCAACAAATGAGCCATGCTGGCCAGGCCAGAAGTGCAGTATTTTGAATATGAGAAACACACCTTAGAAACATCCCTCACGCTCCCCAATCCTCAGCCTTACAGGTCTCAATGTGCATTTTCACACACTTTCCTGCAAGAGGAGAATTTAATCAGCAGTCAGTGATCTCTTTAATACAACCATGGATGCCCTGAAATTGATTTCTGGGGCTCCCTTTGGGCCCTCAGCCTGCTGCCTCTCTCTGGTTCGATTGTAAATGAATTTTATGATCGCTGGGCTTTGTTTGTGGCTGTTTATTGCTAAACACGTTAAAACACCCTAATGCACACAGAGCTAGATGTTAAAGCCACATACAGAGCCGGCTCGAGCTTTCAGGAGAAGTGCCCTCGCTTCCCTCATAATTCCTCAAAGGAAAGAGACGATCAGCATAAAACACCCGTAATCCCCAAAACATTCGTTCTTTTACTCTCACAGCCAGTTGGCCTGGAGGTCAAATCCCCCCAGTATTAACTACAAAAATCAAGACTTAACTACAACAAGACTGCACACAAAGACCACTAGGGGGTGCACCAAGAAAGCATAAAAAATGCAGAGACAAAGAAACAGAACAAAACTGTCAATGGAGGATATTGAGTTCAGAACCACAATTTTAAGGTCTCTCAAGAACTATCTAGAAGCTGCCGATAAACTTAGTATGGCCCTCGAAAAGACTGGTGAGACCGCCGATAAATGTAGTGAGATCCTCAGGTGG